ATATTTTTTTCTCAAATCAATAAGCTGATTAGCTTTAGTACAACAGCTAAACATAAACAGGTGGGGCACGCAGATCTGTCTAACTTTTTTCTAAGGCGGATGACTGTGCAGTTAGCGTTTGGCATACCGCATGTTGTAAGGCAAATACCTCTTAACTTAGATGGGTGTGTGCGGTCGAGAAGGTTATACACAACCACACTGAAGGAGAACACCACTCTTTTCGTCACTTCTTCAGCCACAAACTCCGAAATGCACTCAGCTTTAGTGAGTTGCTCACGATTTCTGTCTGTGTCGATGCCCCATATATGAGTAAGGGGTGCTAATTGCTCAAGTTTGCCGTTAATTTCGGATAGAGAATTTTGTAGCTGTCGGATGTCATTACTATATCTATCAGTATTTTGGTGTGTATGAGGTGGACCACTGGACTCTTTAGGTTTTGAAATTCTAGATTTAAGCCTTCGTAGAACATACTATTTAGTAGACTTTTCGATGCACGTCGGCATAGTGTCTTGTATGTCAACCAGTCTCACCGTTGGCATACTGCACATAGAGATAGAGATGTTGCGAAATGGAGAATCTGGTGACGATGGAGACATTTGTGTACATTACACATTTTATTCAGTAGTTAAAGGCTCAAAATTTTCAGGCACTGAGTCGTCAGTTATAGAGGTTACAGATTTAAACATTTTATTGGCTTAGAAGTTGGTGAAACTTTTCTTTTACTGGGGTTATTGGACATGGGCGAGAAACTAATTTAGGGAGCAATTTCAAGGTCACGGTGTCAGGTTCAACAGGCGATGCTAACACTCGATCGGTTCACAGCGGATTTTAGAGAGGATGTGATTATTGAGAGGTTACAACAGATGGGACTATTAAGAAGTTCTTGTACGTGTGACTGCGGTCACGAAATGACTGCAAGAAAAGTTTGCAGACCACCAAGCAGAGATTATGTTTCGTTGTTCTGCATGTTCAAAGAAAACGTCTGCCCGAAAGGGAACTTTTTTTGCTCGATCACGACTCAGACTTAGATGATGATGATTATGATAATAGTGGCGAATTGGGTTATAAAAACATCAGTAACACTGGCTGCGGCGTTTGCAGACGTTACTGAAACTACAGCAGTCAAGTGGTATGAGTACTGCCGCGACATATGCGCGACCAAAATGACACAAGTACATGTAACATTTGAAGGAGTCGGAATGATAATGGAAATAGACGAGTCAGTAGTAAGATAGAGAAAATACAACAAAGGACGTCTTATCAAGGAAGAATAGGTAACTAGTACTTCCGTAAATATATTTGACAGGAACTTGGATCGTTCTACTCAAAAAGGATATTTTCAAAAAGTGAGTAACCATCAGGCTAGGACAATAATAACAACCACAAAAGAATGCGTTCAGCCTAGCACGACGTTCCACACGAATGATTGGAGAGCCTAAAGATGCCTCGAGAGTTTTGAGTTTGTGCATCGTTTTGTGGTGCAAAAACGCCATTTTGTCGATCCGAAGGCAGGGGTTCACACAAACAATATTGAAGCTATGTGGTCTAGGCTTAAAGAATTTTTAAGATTCTACCACGGCTCTAGAGGACGATTGTTAGGACGAGTTTCTTCACCGCATACATTACGCGTTTAGGACTTCTGAACATTTATTGAACCTTAACTACTTGTTAACTCATGTAAAATAAGAATAACTACTGTAATTTATTACTTTCTTATAATATATTTTCACTTTATACTAACTGTCTTCTTATTGTCTAATAATTGTCAAGGTCATTTAAGATTCGTTCAAAGGTCTTCCATAAATTAGACTCTCGCCTTGGACATGATATGAAAATGGGTGAGCGCAGTGCTCGTAAAATTGAATACAATATCCGGGTATTAGTTATTAGTAAATATTAACCTGGTTCGAACTAGTATTAGAGACCATGAGTACATAATGAATTTTCGATCTGTTTATGACTTAAGTGTGAAATAAGTACAATATAAACTTGTTATTATTCGTCAAATAAAAAAAACGTTTTTTCCTTATTTTTCGGGGTAAGATGTACCCGATGTACAGGATAGAATGATACTCACAGTATAATACACCCTACAAAAGAGGAAGTCGAAGAATTCTTGAAGCACGTGAAAAAAATGTTACCACCTTCAAAGTTCGCGCTGGTCTATGATGGATCGCCTAATATTTATCCCGATCATGAATATAACGGACTACAACAGTCCTTAATATACATATAACTGGACGGTAGAGCACATGGTTTACTCTCTCCTGTTACTCATCGATTATTGGTTATGCACTTATGCTCCTACTACAGAATTCCATATTCCTAATCTCTCTAACAGCCCTAATTCTATTTTTGTTATTATGTGTCGTGTCCTTTTTAATCCACTACGAACAGACATAATACTCACTAGTCTCATGGATGCCGATCGACTAAAGCCGATCATAAGAAGCTCAAATAGTCCTAATTTCTTGTGAGTTGCTCAATGATTTATTTTTCTTGCACTAAAAATTCACTATCTTACACACTTTTATATGCTTTGATTTGTATTAACTTTACTATCCCTGAACTACATATAATCTCATCATTCTCTTTAAGCTTATACCATTAGTTATTTTCACAGCAGTGCGATATAAAAACCGGATGTCTAAACCATCATACAAATGCTTCAGCTATCTGATTTGCTTGTAACATAAGATTAGTAGAGATAATGTATTCCAACTGTGAGCTTTAATTTAAGCAATATTCCTACTTAACTCAAAGTTAAGAGGTCCTACCATCACGAAAGGAGTAAAGGTGGCGTTACTGACCATATTAGAATGCATTTACTCAATGAGTACCTTATAAAAAAGAATTAGGTTGAGTAATAATACTTAAATATTCCTTCACGAATATTGTCTGCTATGAATTTCGTCCTTTATTTTTCATGCACCCTTTTGTAGCGTATTTGAAATATCCCATCGAAAACAGATATGGAACGGTTGGATTCGTCTTGCACCATCATCAAATCCTCGGATATTTCTGATAAATATAGCGTTGCAGTTTCTAGAAGCACTCAGCTTTACATCTACCTATTCTACAACATCAGTTGCACGTCGCGACTCAACCTCCAAAAAACGCGCTACTACTCGTATCGACAAGACGAGTCTAACCAACATTAGTTACATTCACATGTGAGAATTGTTATTCGCCATAATACTTTGATCATTGTATCTTTTAAAATATCATACTAATCGAGTGAAGCACTACAATCAAGACAAACTACTTAAAGAAATAGATCATGCGTGTTGACTAGCACGCCTCATGTAACATAATGTTATTTGAGAGTATATCATTATAATTATCTTAACTAAAATGTTTTATGTTTAAAATACACCTGATTTTTCAATATTGTCACATGTATGTATATTTAACTCTTATTATCATTCAGAAACCATACTCACGTTATTGGATTCTGCAAAACATTTACGTCAAATCAATGTTAAATATCAGTGTGAATATGTGATTTTGACATTGCTTTCGCTTGACGGAATGTCAACGTCCTTATAGTGAAAAAAATACTGTGAAATTAACTATTTTCAGCAGCATAACCGGATCTACTGAACAAAAAATAGCCCAAGAATCCTTCCACTCAACAATTACAACATATGATTTCATTAATATAGCCGACCTGATATGATGTAAATTCAAACTGCCAAGACAACAACTATAGGAATAAATGTCTGGACACAGAAGGCCAAACACAATCGTAATAACTATGATCATCGACCGATCCCCTGAAATTAGTATTTTTATTCAGGAAGACAATATACAATCTCATGCATTCTACGCAATTCAGTCTGTGGGTTTTAACAACACCTTTGATAATTTTTCGCAGGTTTGAGTGGTGATCTCCTGTAATTTGCAAACACTCACTTTCCGGGTTCAAGCAGTAATATTTTCAATTGTGTCAATTCGTTTTCCTGATGAGGGCTCATCTGATACTGAAGATGCTGATGTGATATCCATACAAGACGACTCAAGGACTGGTTCTGTCAATTCCACACAATCCTTAAATTTAATGCCGATTACCTCTCTTGACAACTCAACTTGGCTCACTATCTCTGCAACATTGAAGGCGAGTTACTAGACACTACCTTCAACACTGACGTGAAATTCTGTTCATCTTTCATACTTAGTGTATTTCTGAACGCTAGCAAACCATCGAAAAATAAATTATTTTGATCGCGATCATTAACTGATTGGTGCTAAAACATTTTTAAATCCTGAAGTCACCGGACGACCGTTGCGCACTGTTGAGGAGTCACATAATCAGACCAAACGGGGTGATTCAACATCAATCGATTAACGTGTTAGTCAAAACATTCAATAATCTCTAGAAGCACTATACAGACATAAATAATTTGTTAAGTTGTACGATTTGTATTTTGAAGATGGGAATGATATCGAGAAACTATAGTGAAACCTTTAGAGTTGTCGACACTGTCCAGAATAACATCCCTTTCTCAAGTCTTTGTCTATTTATTTGAACTTGGTAGATATCAAACGTTCTAGTGCTCACGTTATATGAAGTGTAATAGTCACGGCTCGTGTGTGGTTGGAAAATACGATCGTTGAACAAATCACATCAATCAATTTGGTTTGTTTGAACTTCAAATGCAACCCGAATGTAATTCAGTGTCTATCAGCATTTTATTAGAATATACACAATCCAAACGTTTAATCGAACAGGCAAATGTCTATTTAACAAGAAATATATTATAAATAACATATTAGTTTACAATATTCTGCAAGATGTTTCACATGAATATCTGTAAACTAATTAAAACATTCAATGGGATAGCATCTGTTCATCGTGTCTCAGCATTGTCTTATTCACTTGTTCACTCCGATTTATTTACAGTTAAAGATTAAATTTAAAAAAAGCTCTGAATCGATGCTTAGCAAAAAATATTCATAAAACAATACGAATATAGTGTAGATCTTGGAAAACTGTCCACGGTGTATGTGCAGATAATCTGTTGTGAATATAATCCCCTGTAATTATGAGAACGTAGATGATAACATTATTATCAATGCATTTATATAAACATATGCAACTGTGAAGTAATAAGTCTATACTGATTTAGGGTTATCAACCTAGTAATTTATCAATATTCAAATTTAAATGAAAATTAAGTGCTTTGTTTTTCGATCTGTCAATTATTGACAGATGATTGTTTGCATTAATTTAGCATGATATATAGTCAGCGTCACCCTTTCAACCATTCAACTACATATCTCGGAATAATGTCTTCGAATTGTTTCACGAATAATTGCTGTGAAGGCTGTGGACATAAAATACCAATGCATCAAAGTTCTAAATTCTATAGAACGCTATCTTTGGATGAATATATACCAGTGGACGGTTATTTGTATGAACATTTATATATTTATTCAGAACTTACAGTAAACACAACGCAGCCCCAACAAAGCCAGGCATCACTTTCTAAAACGTACTAAAATAAAGAAAAGAATGTATTTCATCTCAATTCATCATGAATCTATATGAATATTAGAGAAGAGACAGTATTACTCAGCTAGTCAACTCTACCGATTTTAAAGTAATATGAACCACTTCACGTAAGAGTTCATTAGTTTGTCATTCTAAATTTCTTTATCACTTACGTGTTTTGTCACATGCTTGACATAGGTTTAGACAACGAACAAGCTTCTCCAGGGACTGTATTATGAAACATTTAAGCTGGTAACTGCATGAGTGTGAAACCGTTGCTTGAAGTTGTGTTGTTCTGGTGTTGCTGTAATTACCATTTGGTTACAAAATCATAATACATAGATAGAACTGAGAATCAATTTCACAAATAGTGACGTTGATTCATGATGCTTTGTATCAACAACATGCAGTGTAAACTCCACAACAGATTGCAGACGTTCTCCAGTTTCAATTCATGTGTAAATGAAACTGGTTTTAATTTGCACTTTGTGCGTGATGACAACATCATGGAGTTAAACAATGTTTTACTTAGAATGACCTCAAAGTAATGCGAATAAACATTCAATGTAGCTGAACATGCAATATAAAACAAAGGTTTGTTTGGAATATTCATCAATGTAATATGAATGGCAAATGTGTTTCTACTGCTGTGTAGGTAACATTTCTATATCTTCGTGATCAGCAGATTTTATTAGGAAGACTCAAGCTATTCGATAAAACTATTATCTAGTCAATAATAATAATAATAATCCATAATCACTACCAGTTTAGGAAACAAATATGATTACATCAACTTACCTCTTTTAAAATCAACCCGATAAGAAAGAGTATGAATCCAGTTACTGTAGCTACACAAAATATCATGAACAAGATCATCTTGAATTTCATTTCTATATTATCTAGCCTTATACCCATAAGAATGGCTACGATGGTGAACCCGGTAGCCGCAGATAGAGAAATTATTAGTTCGTACCATTTTGCACATGAAATTAGTAATCCTAAACCAACAATCATAATTATCATCTGAAAAGGAAGAAGTTAGTTTCAAATTATCGCTAGTTCAGACGTTGAACCGGTCAATAACTGGACAAATAATGAAAGAATAATTTTCACTGTTCTAAATTTGATTAAAATCCTAAGAAACTAATATTTATGGATTCAAGCACATAAAAAAGAATCCCTTTCCAGTTCTATAATAATGACGAACTTGAAATAGTTTCATAGCTATTTCGCTCATCCAGTACACATGGCCGGGTTATGTGTAGTTTGTCACCTAAATGGTTTGAATCATACTAACTATTCAAGATCTAAGACAACTAGTAATGTCTGTGACATGTAGCACTAAATGATAACTTGTGTATCATAGAACTCACGTTCAGTGGTAGATAAATTGTTTGTATTGTTATACAAATTAAAATGAGAGAAATCAAATTTGTTTATTTATTTTCTATTTACAACCCTCTGCGTATCTCACAAATTGTATAACAACAAACTTAGATGAGAGTACAAGGATTGTTTTATCTTGTTAGCCGTTATTAAACAAATATGACAACATTTCTATGATTCAGCAAAGAAAACGTAACTGAATTCAATCAACAGTTAAATGAAACTATCACGATTATCATTTTAAGTAATATTCTACTCACGGTTATAACAATGAAGACACTGTTCATTGTAGATGTAGACTGTAGTTTTCTAATGATTATTATTAATAATCCAAGAAATAATCCAATAAATCTGGATAACAAAACAAAGAAATATACTGCATACTAAAGCACAGATACATTTGACCATGGTAATGTGCTTTAATGTTCTACATATTTTGGTTGAAGATGTTCCTGAACTACTCAGTTAAACAATCTGTAAATTTTGTTAAACATTTCAAAATAAACGCTGAGTGGAAGACTTGATGAGTGATCGTCTTAGTTGTCTTATTTCATCCATAAAATGCACTGGTTTTCCCGAAGTTAGGGAGATTGCGCTCATCTTTTCGAAATGATTTCACAGAAACACGCGCATACAGCTACTGTCAGAGAAGTCCTAATCACTGCACTCTCGTGGCTGGGAATTTGTTTACGAAATTGAGATGACGAAGAGCGATTATTCGGTGCATTAGGCGGGTAGGTGTGCACAAATAGTTCATATAAGTGGGTTTGGACATACTGATTCCAAACCAATGGTGCACATGGGTTCCAGGTTCCCGAAAGAACAATTGGCGTATGAATCCATTATCGAGCACTGGCTACCATAGGACGGCATTACATAACGCTGTCCCACTGCTTAGTGTTTCAAACGTTTAGTTCGAGTGCTTCGAGTGTATTACTCTACGAAAACCACCCGTTTCAATCTGGACGCTCAAGCAGTGTCATAGATCACACAAATCAAGTAACTTGTGTGGCGCATATTTATTTGGTGCCCCATTTACCAATATTCATGTGTTGAAATAATATGTTATTACACTTCAGCATGACCATTGACTATGATGTGACGCAACACAGAATGGCAATGTCTTGCACTAGGAAGAAATGAACTATTTTTCAATTTCTCAATCTTAATATTCTAGTCAAACAAGGATAGCATTTCTCATCATAGTGTCCTTATTAGTTCATTGAATGATGCGTAATAGTAGTACATGGAAAATTGTCGTTGTGATTTTCAGTGAATACAAGTATAAGACATATATTGCTTACGTTAATATGAGACCACTGAGAACAAATGGATCTAAATGATAAATAAAGCTAAATTTATCAAATGGAATTATAAATGTCTTACCACTGAGTAGAATTTTTCAGATATGTTGACACATTAAAAAGCCTTCGGAAGCTGAATCTGTCAAATGGAATGATAAATGTCTTACATGCAATGAGATTTAATGGTCTCATTCTTAACATCATCACATGCGGATGTCATCTTCAAAGAAACTTGAGTGAACATTTTTGAGAAATTCACTATCCACAATCAGTAACTTCAATTTGAACTGAAATACGTAAGAATTCAAAGTACAGTAATGGAGATATTCAATTTCACGGTTTACATAATCCCTTACATATTCATTCACTTGCCTATTTCTTTCCATTTTCATTGCACTAAAACAAGTATGGATTTATGGAAAGAATCAAATTTTTTAATACACTTAGTTCGCTTCATCATTTTGAAAATAGATTGTCGATCTTTGATTGGGTAAATGAATATGTTGTTTGATAGAGTGTTAAGAGTTAAGCAGCCGGATAATTTCTGGCCAGAGCAGTGTTCAGTCTCCTGTTTATTATTTGTGCGATGATATCATGTTTAAATGTAAGATTTATGTATACTGGTTTCTTATTGACCGTATTTATCTCCATCTTTCTTTCTTTGGGCTTATTATATTTGTGGATTAGAGTTATATTTTAGACCATTATCTATGTTCATTAATTTTTCTTCCAGTTTGTCGGTGTTACATAACTTCTCTACTCCTGTATGAAAGTGTTTAATGCAATGCCTTCTTGTAACTAATTGGTCAAAAACTACTGAAATTCAGGGAGACTAAACTTTGAACTGTTCAGTCTCTTTTGCGTTTTATGGTAATATCTAGAAAGTGGAACATGTCGTTCTGTTCGTGCTACATAGTGGAATGTATGTTAGTGTGAGCGTTATTGAAACGTTTTAGCAGACGGATTTAATGCTGTTCATTGTTACAGATAATAAATGTGTCGTCCATATATCTGGAGCATTCCGTTGTTTCACTAATTGCCTGTTTGAGTACAGTATTTTCAAGATATCCCATAAAAATATCTGCCATAATTGGACCTAGTGGACTTACGATTGCTACGTCACCGATTTGGCGATGTATGGTGTAATTGAACTGGAATTGTACATCTGTTGTGCACATCAGTAGTAGTTTTTTGAATTCTATGGCTCTTAAAGGTAAGAGATCATCATTCTGACAAATAATATCAATAGTTTCAAAAAGAAGTATATTGGTGAACAAGGATGTTATATCAAAAGAGACCATGAACTTGTCGTTAACATTCGTATGATTTAGTCTTTCAGCAAAGAACATGAATATCTCAGCCTATATGTTTCTAATCTACAACCAACCTGTTCTAGCTTTACTGTTAGCCAGTGCGCACATTTATGACACGTTGAGTTGATCATTGATAGGATAGGCCAAAGTGGAACATGATGTGTTGTGCACTTTTGGTAAACCATACATATGAAGCAGACGTGAAACGCGTGGTCTTATATCGCTGTGAGTATTATCAGCCATTTTTCTTTTAGGAGTTCTCAAAGCATGTAACATCGACAAGCTACACTTTCATGTTACCGCCAACTGTATTTATGAATTTACGTGTACCTGACAAAGCAGCTACATCGGGCGAACTGTAAGTAGAGCATACCCTAGATTTTTTGAAAATGTTTCAAAAAGTCTTACAATGGGGAAAAGAAAGACTCTGAACAGTGTAATGATCAAAGATCTCACTGACACAGGACATCAGGTAGGTACTTTACAATTCTTTAGGGTGATTATTAAGCAACCAATCTCCAGTTTTCTGAAGTTTGCTGAAGCCATTGCTATCGTTCGTAAGACACCTGACCTATATATTCAAAAGGAGACGGTGGTTATTCTTTCCTTAGCCTGGTGACAAATACTCCTTCCCAGCATCTTAAATTTTTTTTATTTTGTATTTATCACACCATTGAATATATTTTGTATTTTCAACAATATTTCAACTGAACTCTAATCACTTTATTCCTATAAATGTTTATTCATTATGTAATCAATTGTTTCTAACCGACTTTTGAACTGTTGTCACAAATAATGTTTTAGAATATTCTTTCACATTAGGTATATATTTACAATATTTAGTAAGCAATTTAAACCCATTATGTAATTATGAATTTAAAATATCACAGGTTACGAGCAGCTACTGAGAACCTACGAAATAAAATGAATTCATGCTATTCTGCTGAAATCTTTGTTCCTGCTCTTTTAAAAATCAGAATTTTATGTGACTGATTTGCTGTATCATATTGATGAGATGAATAACGAAGATTAAAAGCCGAATAAAATTAATTTCATTAGATTCACATTAATTACTCACTGCATACGCTGGTTTGAGGTCATCAATGTGAATGCACTCAATCCAGTTAAGATAATTAGCACTGACGAATTTATTCACCTCAATAAATAATACTCAATCGTATTATTTTGTTTCTTGTGTTCGGCTTTTTCATTTACGATGAAATATTTTTTCGTTATTTGAGCGCAGTTAAAATGTGACTGCCATGCAAAAAAAAGCATAATCGGCCTTCCACTTTGTTAAGTATTCTGATGATCCCACCGTGTGCATTGGGATTAAGAATTACTATTCATTCATAGTCTCTTGAAATGAATGAGTGTTTGTATCTCAGTGAAAGATGGTCTGTTATTAACACTATTAAAAATCAAATTGCAAACTTTGGTTTAAAACACGAGTAACACTCAAACATCACGTTGTAACACCATGAAGTTTTCACGATTAAAGATTCCGTAATGAAAACGATGATAGACATGAGCTGTCGTGGTTTAAGATTTTTCTTTAATTTCTCATCATCTTCTTCTGTGCTGTTGAAATGAAGGAAACTTTTTCACCCGACTTTTTATGCAGAGAGACCAAATTATGTTTGCATTGGTCGACATTACATTGATGAGTTGTTGATTTTTGTATATTACCTGCTACTCGAAAACGTTCTCCACTGTGAGTAGAATGTGTGGTGTATCTTCTGAGATCATCACAAACATGGTTGGGAATAGACATTTCAAATCTTGCAAATTGCTGACAAGTAATATACTAACAAATATTTACCGTCAATTTAAATCATATCACTCACGTTCAACATAACGTCGAAGAATAAGGCACAAGAACATTAGAATCTCTCTCCTGTCTGTGATAAAAACTCATTCAAATCATTTGGATTAAGTGTTCTGTATTGTTGTTTGCCTATAACGTCGAACGCAACCATCATCATTACTACTTATAATACGACTTATCAACTAATGTAAGCTCATGTCTAATTCACACTATTCGAAAGAAATGGATAAACTCACTTGGAATAGTTCTGATGTTCACAGTACAATTGATCAAGTAAAGTTACACAAATTTATAGTAGAATTCACCAATTATTTTGAATCCACTTTTTTAAATTATGGTTATTTATTTATTATTGAACTTTGGTTAATCTGTCTTTATAATGAGCAGTAGAATATGTCAATCAGTTAGAAATAGAACAAACTGAATTAACTCATAGTTCATCTTGAACTAATACGTGATAGCACAAAGATGAATGATCGTGTTGCTTCAATAAGCTGAATTGATAATGAAAGACTCTACAGAAAATTGACGTCAGACAGAACACACAATGTCAACTCGTTTATTCCGTTGACTACTTAAACATATTATGTTTCATGTGTTGTTTATTTGTATTTGGATAACATCTTTAAAAATCAATCAACAAATAGAAAAATATTTCTCCTTTAATGGTTAATGACAAACTTATATACCATTGCAGAATAGTCAGGAATGATTCCTTTGGAGAAAAGAATGTTGAATGAGTTGATGAATGCTAATTGAAAACATCCTGTTAATATATAAAATAATACGTCTCTGAGTTTATGGTCACTGGTGTTCAGGATTTGACAATCTCAGTGGATCATTTTAATCTCATCATCGACTCTGTAAACCTTTATATTAATATAATGTATTTTAACTTGTATGGCTTGTCGTGTTCTCATCAATGAAGAATGAAACACAGATGCTGTTGTTACTTCAAAAGAGGAAGTGACTTGATAAAATAATGAATTCCTCCTTAACTTACAAAAAATCAGTTGTAGGAAGCACAATAGTGCAAACACCGTCTAGTGCATATTTGATATGATGGTTTACACCTGATTCAGTTTATCAACTACGATGTGGAACCAGGCACATCTATACATCAGTTCAAGTTTCCATACATGGTAAGCACAAAAAGTTGAACACCAGATTCATAGAGGAAATTAATTCAATGGTGATAATATATAAACGAACGATTGCCTATTAAGATATAGTCCAGAAATAAATAATTCGTACGTAGGAAGTATAGTATAAAGTCATTTTAGTTACACGATTTAAAGAAGACAAATAGTGAATACACTCTTAATGGCCACGTTTTACAGACATAAAAAGGAACAGAACAAACTGAAGCAGTAACTTGCATGTACAGAGAGAAATGCACATACCAGATATTTTGGCATTGTTGCTCAGTGCTACCAGACGTATCTGCATTTTATCAGCGTCTTCACCAAACATGAGTATATCATCTACGTATTCTAATTCGATAAGTGGATTTTCTTGAAGGAGATCAATGCCCAAAAATTCAATCGACGAGAATGTCATTTCTATCAGGAGGTACTTGATGAAGTTAAACAACAGTGAAGAAAGTATGCCGCCCTGAAGGACAACACTTGAGGTTGCAAAAGCAGATGACATTACGACATATGCTTTGACCCGACTATTAGTGTTCGAGTGAACAGCCATCACAAAGTTTATATATTTCTAAGGTAGGACATTCGATGACAAACACTGACACAGAATCGCACAGTCTACAGATTTAATTGTTGGACGTCTCTAAGGATGCATACCATTTGAACCCCGAGGAGTCGTAAATGTGTGGTCGACACAGCGACAACAACGAGTGAAATCAGCCTGATTTTCTCGTGTTTGCAGTTAACGAGTCTCCGTTATACGTCCGATGATTATTGAAGCTAGTATTTTAGTTCCAATGTTAGTCAAAATAATCCCTTCTATGTAAAAACATAATATATCTGTAATATCTCAAAGAGTAGAAAATTAAATTTCCTGACGTTTCGTGACTTAGTGTAAGTTTCTTCTTCAGAGAATAAATGATCAGATTAAAATTAATCGAAGTTTAAATAGTACAACGAAACAATAAGAATGATATTTGATCAATCAAAAGTAGATCTGAACAAGATAATGTCATGTCATTTATGTCAAGGTGATTCGTAATTGACATATATGTAAATTTGTGTGCGTATGTATGTAAGCAATGTTTATGAATACAAAATTGTGTGGTGTTTATGGTGAGAAACGATGGAGTTTATATAGTGAGATGATAGTGTGAGGTGAGAATATGATCAGAATGAATGGCTGGGATAGATGGTCCAAGTAGGATGCATGGTGATCACTGGAGCTCCCTGGCGGATTTGACCTCGTGTCACCCAGCTTCACAGTCAGAGAGGTTACCACTGAGCACCAGTTCCCTCAAGATTACAGGTACACCTTGCTGACGAGAGCCAAATAGCACGAAACCCGGGTCCAGGGTTTCCTGTTGACTACCTCCAACCACCATCTGAATCTCAATACATAGTGCCCGCAGTGTCGAGTCACCTAGACTGGTGGCCACATTGCAACACGATCGATCGCATTCGATCTGCACTTATAAGGACTAGACAAGCATGACATTGATCACCACCCAGTGATCAATCAATTGTGATTACATCTTAGTCCTACATGATGATAGTCACGGCTCGGATAGCTCAGTGGTAACGTCTCTGACTGTAAAGCTGGGTGACACGAGATCGAATCCACCAGGCAGCATCAGTTCCCTCAAGATTACTGATACACCTTGCTGACGAGTGCCAAATAGCACGAAACCCGGTTCCAGGGTTTCCTGTTGACCACCTACAACCACCATCTTAACAGTGAAATAAACTTGAGAATAGAGAAACGAGACAAGGGGGAAACAGAAAATCAAAATTTGGAAGAACACAAAGAGTGGATGCACTTGCGTTATTGCAAACGATTTTCAGCCATGTCATTCAAGGTCTCTAAACATCGGTTGCTATCATCTTGTGGTCCGCAACCAGGTAGTCTTCACCTACTGACATGAATCAGTTCACTTGTCAGTGAGTTCATGGACTTGTGCCATGTTTTGGTCTAGCCGCCCCTAGCTTTCTTCCAACCTACTCCTATACCATTGAACATCGCACGTCGATGCAGTCGGTCGTTGATCATACGTAACACGTTTCTCAGCCATCTCAACTAATGAAAATTCACTACTTCTTTTTTTGATTTGCC